CGCGGGTTCTTTTTCTCTTAAAGCTTGGGCTAACCTTTCCAATTGGGCACTATACACTGCACTTGTAATGGTTTGGTTAGATGGTAAAAGTTCATAATGAGGAATTCCTTTAAAATTCCACCAAACACACAACATCACTTTTTTCGCATGCAAGTCAGGTTTTGGCGTGGGCTGCGGAGCCTCATTTTTGTCCAACCATTGAGGCCGCCTTTTCAAATTAACATACAGCACCCATTGTTCATCTCCGGTAACAATTTGCTCTAAAAACGGCAAACGGTTTTGACGAGAGAGGAGCGAACTGCAAATTGTGATTCTTTGATTACGGTTGTTGTCGGTCAACTCATGAGGAACCCATTTTCCAAACTTTTGGACTTTGCCAAGTGCACGCAATTGATTGGAAATTGTTTTTTGTGAACAATTTAAAGTTGTCGCAAGTTCTTGTTGGGTAATTTGAGGATTTTGCACCAAAAGAGCTTGAAGAGCTTCTTGATCAAAATTGGACACACGGCCTCGACCACTCTTGTCATCTAACAAAAAATTTCCCTCGCGAAATTTCTCAAACCAACGCTGGCATTTTCTGGCGCGAACTGCATCTTGACCAAGAGCACTACAGATGTTTTTTGCAGCCTCAGTTGCTTTTCTTCCTAATTGGAACTCGTAAAGCATGCAGTGCCGAATATGCTCTTCATCCGCCATCTTCTTAGCCCTAGTTTTGCAACAAAAACCAAACCAAACACAAACTTTTTCAAGCAAAACTTGTTAATTGCACTTCACACGTTCTGTAGATACCACGTGTTTGAAGGTTATGTCAATACAAGTCAACGCCAAGCAAGATTTTAAACGAATGTTTAAAAACGACATTAATTATTACTAGACCCGATACATGCCCTTGACCGGAATCAAACCTGGGACCTTTCAGTCCGCAGACCGAGGCTCTACCACTGAGCCAAACCGGTTTCGGTCAAAAACCCAACTTCTGACCACACGGGCCACAGACATTTGGCTTATGCCCTTCAGTGTGTTTATGGAGCTTGGGGTAGAGTGGAGGGAGTGGGAAGAGTACTTAAGCATTCCTCTCATCAAGATTTGGTTGTTTTTGTTTGGAGGAGAGGGGTTTTCCTTTGGTCTGGTGTAGAGTGTGCTTTTCTCAATTGCATTGAGGCTGGGAATGAAGGATAACATTCCTCTCTGGTCACTTTTTTGGTATCTCTAAATATTGCAGTCTTGGTTTTTACTAGATTTGTGGATTATCAGTCATCGCTTTCTTTCATGAGATAGTCCAGGAACTTGTTAGTTTAAAGCTTCTTCTAATTAGATCTTCTCTACTGAAAGTTTGAATTTGATTTGTTTTTGGTTTGTTGATCGGTCTATCAACAAACCTGTGGAGACAGGTAATGAAGCTGAGATGCTTTCTATTCCTAGGATTCCAAATCTAATCCTAACCCTTAATGTACTCATAGAATTTAAAAGTCCTCTCAAATAAAGAAAGGAAATATCCTGTTCTTTTTAATGTTTGCTGAAAGTTGTCTTTAGGAAAGCTAATCTTAACCTGTTAACTGGGGAGTTCCCTTTTTAATGACGCAACCTGTAACGGGCACGTACTCTTTCACTAGGACATGTCAGTACGTCACGCCCGGAGGACGTAATTTCATATTATTATTTTTTATTTATACTTAATGAAAATAAATGAAATATATGTTTTTTCGTTTATATATATAAAGCACAAAGGAAAATACAAAATAAAAAAAATAGAAAATACCAACAACAAAAAATGGACACGTCGAATTAAAAAATTATAAATTTTACAAACAGTGATAAAGATTACAAAAAATAGCCGAAACTGGTTTGGCTCAGTGGATAGAGCGTCAGCCTTCGGACCTAAAGGTTCCGGGTTCGATTTCAGTCAAAGGCATGTATCTTGGTTGCCGGCACTTCCCCAGTGGGGGGTGTGCAAGAGGCAGCTGATTGATATTTCTAACTCTCTAGCCATCCCCTTTCCTTCCTCTCTGTAAAAAATCAATAAAATATATATTTTTTAAAGATTACAAAAAATATATACCGTCCCTCTCGGGGCGCAACATATATTTCAAGGACATATTCATACATCCTACCCGTTCCCGATATTGTTTACATTTGACGTATTTATAGGTCCCGCTCAGTTAACAGGTTAATAGGCATCTTCCTTTGTCAAGTATCATTTAGCCTTTTAGCCACTTACCTTAGGGCTTTTTAAAGGAGAAAGGGATAGAGCATGAGGAAAAACTTGTCACTTTCAAAGGAAGAGGAAGAGCCCTGGCCAGCATGCTCAGTGGTTAGAGTGTAGGCCTGCACATTGGAGGGTCTGAGGTTTGATTCTCAGGCAAGGGTGTCAAGGACACATACCTGGGTTGCAGGTATGATTCCTACTCCCCATAAGGGTGGAAGGCAACCAATTCATGTGCCTGTCACATAAAGGTTCCTCTCGCCCCTCTCCCACTTTCTAAAACCAATGGAAAAAATATCCTCGCTTTTTGAGTGAGGGTTTTTAAAAGAAAGGAATAATTAATTGGCTCTTATGCAGCTGTTAATGGGGAACTACTCAACACCAATAAAAACATTTACTGAGCTTCTGTTATATTATTCTAGGAAATACTTATAAGCATTTTACACATTCTTATTTAATCCACAAATCACCTGGATAAGATAGGTATTTACTTTGTCCTCATTTTCCAGAAAAGGAAATTGAGGCCTTGAAAGGTTGACAGGTTATACAAGGTGGGGCAGGGGGATAAGGGTGGGAAAGAAAATAGGAAGGGAATCCTGAGTTTTATTTGGGTGAATAGGCACAGTGTATTTTTTGCTTAGGAACCAGACATTTTAGTTACTTATCGTATCTGAGGGTAATACTATTTATTCACTCACTGAACATTGTTTACAATAATCAAGGTAAATTTACTGTCTTGAGACATCCCTAGTCTCTTCTTCCTCCCCGCCCCCCCCTCCCCAATCCTAGTCTTTTTATTGGACCCCAGTATGGTCTGTGGAGGGGCTCATTTTGTTTGTGGTGAAGGATATTGTCTGTCCTAAGAATAAGCAGAAATGCCCCTTCTTTGATCTTACTGGTTTCATTATATTCCTCAAAACAATTAGAGCTGATTGATTTTGCATAATTGTTCTTATGTTTAAAACTTCATCTTAATAAGTGGCTAGATTTCCTTTTTAAGGGAGGGTTTGGGGAGCAATCATGAATTCTGGTTTCATCTATGGCTACAGATAAAATTAGCCATTTTAAGAAAAGTGTGATACTTCTGAATCCCAGTTCTTCTATAAAGAGAACTGGACTGTTTTCACTTGACCTCTACTTCCTGTTAGTGGGAAAACTCTCTGCAGCCGTGCTGTGAGAAACGTTGATGGAAAAGCTTTCTAGATCCCAGGATAAGGTTTCAAGAAAGTCCAGCAATATTGTCATTAGAATAATGGTCTTCATTAAATACTAATTTTCACAATCTTGAAGCTAACTTTCACCACGGTTTGAAAGGCAGCCAAGTAGGAGAGGCTACAGAGGGGAGGAGGAAACAAGACGAATTCCAGAGGCTAGAAAGAAGCCCGTCTTCTTTACTGAATGAAAATGAAAGAACTTGTAATGTCCAAGATCAGAGCAAAAAGGTCTTTAGTTAATTCCTTAGGTATCTTAATTTCCTCCCTATCTTGCATGCATACATAAACTTTAGGCTTCCGGATTTCTTTTTCTTTCTAAAGGAGACTAACGGACATTTATAGGAGACCAGGGACATGGGAGCAGTTCAGCTGAGGGAACGTATCAGAAACTTAATTTTCTGTCCGCTCCTGGCTTAGGCTGACTGGTTCCTTGATGTGTTTACCTGCTTCTGCTACTGATCCAAACTGCGGAACTCATTCTTCCTGAGGCCTTCAAGCAGTAACCAATTGTATATTTATGGGAAAAGTTGGAGATTGTGACCTTGATTAGAATGTGTCTGGAGAGGAAGATAGGAGACAGTTGGTTATGAAAGATGTTGAAGTCCTGAATAGTGAGAAGTTTTTTGTAAACCAGAGTTTATAGAAATATTACTGATACAGCCTACCCCTTCAATTCCTGCTACAGGAGACTTTTTGGACTTAATAGCTTGCCTATTCTCAGTAGCTACCTCTATGTGAGGAAAGTATAGAAAACGTTCAGACATCATCATACTATAACAGTAGCAGTGACGCCTACACGGAAGACTTGGAACTGCAAACAGATGCTGGGGTCACCTCAGTGACATCTGACGCTGTCCAACCAGAAGTTCCGATTTTTGTTTTGAGGGGTGAGGAAGCTGGCTGTACTAAAGGATTAAAATAATTTCTTGACTGTAGTTTCTCACTTTGTTTTTATTTTTGGCGGGAGAAGTGGTGGTGGGTAGAATTTCACATCCTATCTGGAGTTAAGGGGAGGTTGGGAAGCTCAGCCCTTCACCCAAGAATAACCCAGTTATGACATCTCCGCGTGGGAAGTGTTTCCCTCAGCTCTGGGAGGGTTTGAGGCTGCACCCCAGTGGGATTCCCTGCCTGAGTTGGAAGGCCGCTCAGAGCTGGATGCTGCGGACAGCGGAGCGCGAAGGATCTAGCGCGCTGAGAACGGAACCCCGGAGGGGGGACTCGGTGGAAGGGGCTTCCCCCGATTTGGAGGCGGGGAGCGTGCTGCGCCTGAGCGACGGGAGAGCCGGGTGGCCCCGGGGGCTGAGCCTTCCGCGGAGGGTCTGAGGTACGCGGCACGGCTGGACACCGCGTCCGAGTCACGGGCGGCGGCCCGGCGGTGCCCAGCCAGCCAGCGCCAGACCCTGGCGTCCTCCATCTTCTCGCCTGAGCTCCCCCTGCTCCAGCTGCCGGAGCCGCGGACCGCAGCACCACACACCCCCGCGGGGGGGGACGCCGCGCCCCATCCCCGCCCCCGGCCCCACCCCGGCCCCCCCGCGGGGGCCCTGACCCCACCGCCCGCAGGCACTGGCTGAGCTCCCGGGCGGCGGGCGGGCGGCGCGGAGGCCCGGGAGGGGTCGGAGCAGCTGGGGGCGGCGGCCGCCGGGTCGGGGCTCCCCCCCCGCCCGCGCTCGCCGCGGCGGTGGTGCGTCCCGGAGGTTACCGGAAGTGGCCGCGCTCGGCGCTGCCATGTTGAGGAGCCGCCGCTGCCGCTGCCGCCGCCGCCGCCGCCGCTTTGTTGTCGCCTCCTCCGGCTGAGGAGGCGCCCCGAGCGGGGGGGAGTGGGGAGGAGGGGGGTCGGCCGCCACAGCCATGGAGGCCAACTGGACCACGTTCCTGTTCCAGGTAGTGGGGGCCCGCCCGGGGGGACGGGGGGGACAGGGGGGCCGGGCCCCGGGCTGGCGGGCGGGCGGGCGGGCGGGCGGGCGCTCCTCCTCCCCTCTCTCCCGGCGCCGCGCTCCGGCCCGGCCTTAATCCCCCTTTGTTTTTCTGCCCGCCCGCCCGGCGGAGCGGGGCCGCCGAGGTGAGAGAGGCGGCCTCGAGGGTGCGGGGGAGCCAGCAGGCCTCGGGGTGAACCCGGCCCCCCCACCCGGCACACTCACGCACACGCACACACCCTTCCCTCCCGCCCCGGAGGGGAAGGGAAGAGGCCAGCCGCTGTCACCACCCGCGGCCCAGAGAAAGGAGGGCGCCGGCCGCTGCACCGCGCGGGCCGCTCGGCCACTGCGCGCCGGGCCGGGCCGCCCCGGGGGGGAAGGCGGTCCCCGGGTCCTACTCCAAGTGTGTTTACACACACACACACACACACACACACACACACTCATACACACACGCACACTCATCTCCCGCTCGCTCTCCTTTTTTTTTTTCTTTTTCAGCTCCCTGCTCTCTTGTTGTGTGTGGTGACTTTCTGATTCTCCCCACCCCCGCCCCATCCCCACGAATAGCGGGTATCCCGGGGTTCCCCGCCACTCCCCTTTCCCGCCGCCCCACCTCGTGTGTACCCAGTTGGGGGGTGTTGTGCGGACGCCTTCCTCAAACTTTTTCACTGGATTTTACGTGTTTTCTTTACCAATCCTCTGCCGACTTAGGCAGCTGACACCCTCTCCCTCTGTCCAGCGCCGCCGCCGCCGCCGCCGCCCCGCTCCGCCCGGGGAATCCCCGGCCGCGCCGGGCCCGGGCCGGGCGGGGACGGTGAGCGCCGGGGCCCTGGAGGCCAGACCTCCTCCCGGAGCGCTTTTCTCTCTCTCGCTCCATCGCGGACGTTTCCTCCAACCAAGCGGGGGAGACAGAAAGCGGAGCGAGCAAACAAAGTGCGCTTACAAAGCCCCCGATGAGTCACTCTTTGGGGTGTTGATCTTCACTGCTTGCAAGAAACTTCCAAGCGGCTGTAGCCCGTGCGTTGGCAAGCCCTTTGCCGGCCCGCTTATGGTGGGGGGCCCCTGTTTGGAAGACTTTTCTGGAACTTTATATTTTTCTTGCTTCGTGTCTATTTGCAAACGAAACACTTCGCGGGCAGCAGTGCTGAGCTCACGGAGAAACTTGGGAGCCGGAGGAGGTTAGGAAGCTCGTCACTTGAAGTGCGTTCTTCCCGCCTCTCCGAGGTTTTTTTTTCTTTTTCTTTTTCTTTTTTTTTTCTTTCTTTCTTACTTTGAATAACTTAGTGAAATCCCAAACGCTCTCGAGACCTTTTGGAGCTAACCAGGAACGGATGCAAAATTTTTAGAAACTTCTCCCAGCCACTGGACCCGTCTCAGTAGAGCTAATATAGAACATTGGAGGACTCAAACATTACCTATTGTGTAGTGGCTGCTTGATTATTTTAAGACGTGCAGTCTTTCACATGTGAGTAGTTTGATTTTTTTTAAGTAGTTGTTGAAACAAATTCAGGCTTCTTCAAATTGAAGATGCTAAAAACTATGGGGCTCAGAAACTTCTCCCACTTTCTTAATCTTACCTAGCATTGTTTTATCCGAGCTTGATAATTGTGTTAAATGAACTTAAAAATGCATTGGAAAATAATTGGCATGTTATTTTCTAGCTGCCTTCCAGGTTGGTGTAAAGGTGGCGAATGCCTTCTATAGGAAAAGCTTTCAAATGATCACTTTAAAATATGGGATTAATAGGCTACTGAAGTGATTTTAATGTGAGGAATGAATTAAATTTACCATATTAAACGTGCTGCCTATAAACTTAATGGAGATTGAAACATAACAGGAGTTCTTTATGTAAAGAAAAAAACCCATACATAACTCACTGTTGGAAAGCTAGTTGAAAAATTGTTTGGAATATTTTCATTATTCTTTTCCTGGATAAAGCAAATGCCAAGCATTTATTATTGATAAACTGTTTAATTCGATTTTATATTATTTAATTTTTTTCAGTGATTAAAATCATTTTTTCCACCTGATGGAGAAGTGTGAAAGCTCATATTTGATCCTGGGCTTGGCAATGTGTGCAGTGAAAATTGTTGGAAAACTTATAATTTAGAGCTGAGGACAGTTGGATGGGTAAAGAAAATATTTCAGTCTTTTCTATGGAAAGGTATGAACAGACTTAGTTCCAGTTTTAAGTAATTTTCACTGGGAAAATGGAGACTTAAAACTCTTATTTTGTTTCCTGGGGCAGCCTATTGAAATTTATAGTTTAAAACAATTGAATACATGCTTGCTTTCCAGATAACCTGGTGGAAAGTGAAAGCCATACTTATTAAAATGTTTGATGGATGATTCTTCTAACAGGACATTCAAGATATGACTCACTGATGCTAATTTGTTTCAGTACAAAATCTTTTACCCTCTGGCACTGGAGATTTCATGGTGCCATTTCCTACCACCTGGGTGATGAAATAACATTCTGTTTTGTTTTTATTGCCGGTCACAAAAAAAGGAAGGCTTGGGAGGGTTTAAAAAGCCTTGCAACTTTGATATGATGATACTAGCAAATTAAAAGTCTACCCAGAAGTTATGCATATATTTTAAATCACTTACTAAAGTCAGGCCGTGGTGGTTATTTCACTGTCTCTCCCCCAGAGAACAAGTTGGGGAAACCCACTTCCCTTCTTAGAAGGCTTCATGTAGAAGCGTGGGGACCTAGGAATCCTCAGAGTGAGAGATTTCCATAGTGGTCGAGGCATTCTGCAGCATTTCACCAAGAACCAGGGACCTGGTGTGACCCTCCTGTGAGAGTGAGCCTCAGCAATGCTGTAAAAATACTTTATGTTGCCACAGACGTCCGAATTGGTGAAATGGCAGTAAGTGCTTTTAGTACTCCATCAAACTAATGGTTGTTTAGAATTGAAAAATGCCTCTAAACACTGTAAGTCTGAACTTTGCCCAGAAGATTTGCATTTCCTATTATCTGATCTGTTGCCTTTGAAATTGTATATCTTGGGCTATCTTCAGCTATTAACCGTTTGTATACTGTATGGAAAGTTGGGTATCCTACAGCCAGGTTGGAAAAGGGGTAAGTTTAGCGTTCAGGTTCTTTAGTTCCTACTAATGTCATCAGCGTAAACACTGACATTTACACGAGCTCCATAAATTAAAAGTGGACTATAATTCAGTATGATCGCTAAGTCCAAAAAGAGACTCAAAAGTAAATACACAATTTCTATGAACAGTTCCAGGACTCCAAGGGAGATTCAAGCAAAATTATTAAATTGAAACTGGTACCTTTGGATACCATGCCTCCCAGTGATTGGGGGGAGCCTGGAGCTTAACTGTTGTGCTGCCACCAAGTAATAAAATATGGAGCAATGATAGATGTTCTTTTCCATCAGGGGAGGAGCTCTGTGTGAGTGTGTGTCTTTCTCTTTCCCTCCTTAATCAAGTTAACTGTTGGACAATGAGAAGGGTAAAAAGGTGTTTAGAGTATCTAAGATGATGGGATGGGCTCCTCCTAGGATGTTGAATGCTTCAAGTATTTGGAACCATTAACCTCTGAGTGCATATATCCGTTTAGGATTACCAAACTCCAGCATAGGGGCTTGGGCTCACTGTCAGGAGTTTCAAAAATAATGTTGGTAAAGTACAACATATTAGGAAGAACTATTTCAGGAATTTTCCCCCATCATTTCCTAAATGTTTATCAGGATGGAGGTATGGAGAATTTTGAAAGAATCAAAACCAAGAGAATAATTAGTCATAAATACCAAGAACATGATCTGTGATGAAATGTTGGTTTCAGTGCAGCTAAAGTAAATTTCCAGACAATGGCCAGCCCACAGTTTTGGAGTGCAGGAGCACATTTTAACAGTGAATGCCCAATACTTGGACAAAACCTACAACTGTTGGAAGAAGATGAAAATGAAAGGAATTTTAATTATTTATTTATAGTTTGTTTTCTCTTGGTCTGTCTTTGAGAGCTTAGGGTTTGAAAAGCTAGTGTTGTTAAAGGATTCAGACTTGTATGAACTGAGAAGTAACTGACAGGTGTTTTGCTGTGGGCTATCTTCACAGATGCCTTCCAGGTTGGTTAATAGCAGGCTTCATTTCAACCAAATCTTTTAGTAGAATTAGGTGAAAATTTAAAAAGTAAACTTAAATAGCATGTGTATTCAGAGAATTAGATTCCTTTTGTCACCTGGCAACAGCCTCCTTTCTCAATCGCTATGAGTTTCGTGATTGAAAGGGAGAGAGACGTAATGCCTTCCTTTTTCTAGGTAACAGACAAGTAGATGATTAAGAGAGAGAGAAACTATGTGTGTGTTTTGTGCATTACTATGGCAAAGTACTGTTAAATATGTCTGGAGTGTAATTTTTTTTTGACAAGTTATTTAAACTTGGTTTCAGCCCTGACAGACTAATGCAAACTAATTTCATCAGCTGGTGTGTCCCTTATGAACCAGGGTGGTGTGTAGTTTAGTCAGCTGTTTGAAAGCAAGATCACTGTCAGCAACTTAGTGGCCAAAGTTTTGGGTCTGCACAGTGATTTTAATGCTTTCTACTGGAAGCTCTTCAGAGTAACTAGTTGATTGCTGGATCTCTGCTGTAGAAAGTTGCTTACAGGCTCTTTGATTGTTTCTTCTGGGCTCTATTGTTTGGAGCATTTTGAATTTTGAAGGTCATTGTGAGAGGCTGAGTTTCTGAAGTGTAAATGTTTGGTTTTAGACCCATGAAGGCTCTCATCACCAACAGCAGGCAGCACAAAACAGCTTGCTGCCCCTCCTGAGCTCTGCTGTGGAGCCCCCTGATCAGAAACCATTGCTTCCCATACCAATAACTCAGAAACCTCAGGCTCCACCAGAAACATTAAAGGATGCCATTGGAATTAAAAAAGAAAAACCCAAAACTTCATTTGTGTGCACTTACTGCAGTAAAGCCTTCAGGGACAGCTATCACCTGAGGCGCCACGAGTCCTGCCACACGGGGATCAAGTTGGTGTCCCGGGCAAAGAAAACGCCCACCACCGTGGTTCCTCTCATCTCCACCATCGCTGGGGACAGCAGCCGAACTTCGCTGGTCTCAACCATTGCAGGCATCTTGTCAACAGTCACTACATCTTCCTCGGGCACCAACCCCAGCAGCAGTGCCAGCACCACAGCTATGCCTGTGACCCAGTCTGTCAAGAAACCCAGTAAGCCTGTCAAGAAAAACCATGCTTGTGAGATGTGTGGGAAGGCCTTCCGTGATGTGTACCACCTCAACCGGCACAAGCTCTCCCACTCAGATGAAAAGCCCTTCGAGTGTCCTATTTGCAACCAGCGCTTCAAGAGGAAGGACCGGATGACTTACCATGTGAGGTCTCATGAAGGAGGCATCACCAAACCCTATACTTGCAGTGTTTGTGGGAAAGGCTTCTCGAGGTACTGCATTTTGCTTTGCTTTTTTTTCATTACGGTATTCAGTGAACTTCAGTTTCTGTGTGCTCTAGATGTTTATGTGAGCATAGATGTGGGTAGGCCTGTGCTATCAGAGGAGATTGGTGATAGGTAAAGTTTTACGCCTCCAGGTCTAATTTCAGTTGGGTGTGTTTGACAAGTGGTGACATCGTGATTAACTTATTTCATTTAAGAAGTACCTTAATGGACGCAGGCCTTCATTTGGCACATTGATACTTCTTATCACTGAAAAACCACCAGATTCCAATTCAGTTGGGTGACCTGACATGAGGTTCACTGTCTGTGTAAATCAAAGAAACTTATTTTCTGGAAGTTGGGATGACCTTGGATATGCTCAATAAAACTTTTAGGAGAATGTTTTTCTGTGTTTACTAACATTTCACTAACTTTCATTTTTAAAGGCTTTAAAAATAGAAAGTGTACTTAGTAGGAGCTGCTTCTGGCAAGTATTAGGACTAAAACTTTGGGTATTTTGTAATTGTAAAGAATCAAGATCTAATATGATTTGATGTTGACTAGGAGAGAAAACAGGTAAAACTTTTGTTTCTGGTAAGAGAAGTAAGGAGGCTTGCATCGGGGAGTTGTTAATTCTGTTAGCTTTCTTTAAAATGTCTCCCACCCAAATCTGCCAAGTATGTAAACATCACAGTAAGTAGTATTTTTCTATGTGTGTTCCCTTATATCTTCTGTTGAAACTCTCTCTTTCACAGGCCTGACCATTTAAGCTGTCACGTAAAACATGTCCATTCAACAGAAAGACCCTTCAAATGCCAAGTAAGAGTTAAAATGACTTATCCTTAGTGTAGCACTTAATGCACATTATCCAGAAGGTCTGAGCCAATCAAATCTCACCGTTCTTGAATAGTCTTAAAAATCACTGACTTGAGTAAATGTGATCCATTTGAATTCTGGATTTATAAAATATAAATGACAGCTTCTATTTCTGTGGTGCAAGATCACTTGAAAATGTAAATGTGTTGTTTTTGTTAAGCTACATTTCTCTTTCCTTGGGCAACAGCATTTATTGTTATAAGAAAAAAATTACAGTTTTGAGGAGGTTGTGTATTGAAATGGATAAATGAATGAAGTGCTTTAAATTAATTTCTGGGCTGATGGTTGGGATCATTTTAACTGTAATAGAAGAAAGTAAGATTTTCCTCCAAAAGTTATCACTTATTGGATTTGTGTCAGCTATTGCCAAATTGGAGCATTTTCTAGTTGTTTGAAAATCTGTTGGTGTTAATGATTTTATTCAGCATGAATTGTGATAATGAAAAGATTAAGAATCTTGCTAAATTAAATTACTGTCTTAGGTATCAGTAATTCTAATTTGTTGCTGGAAGTTTTTTTGTGTTCCTTTCCATTAAATTTGTTAATGATGATTTTATTAAAGAAATTATTTGAATTCTAAGAAATACCCAATTGGAGAAAGGAAGCTAGTATAATTTTGAGTGAGTGTCTTCTATGTGCAAGACCTTGTGTCAGGCTCTTAATCCACCAGTAATTCTGTGAGGTAGGTATTACCATTTTATAGATAAAGAAATTCAGATAGGAAATGTTACACTGTTTAGTGAATTGGGGAGCTGGATTTAAATCCAGGTTTAACTGATTCTCATGCTCACATCTTCTCACTACTCTATGTTGATATTTGTTCTTCCCTTAAAATGTAAGGGTCTAAAATTCACCAAGTGTTTAATTATGAGTCTGGGTAACACATACAATTAAAATTCAACCAACTCAGCTTGCTCATATGGGTAGGATAATGCCTAGAATATAACGTACTTTTAAATGAGTAGAACAGGATAGTCTATATTTAAAAAAAGTTTTCCTCCCTCATGCAGACGTGCACTGCTGCCTTTGCCACCAAAGACAGACTGCGGACACACATGGTACGCCACGAAGGCAAGGTATCCTGTAACATCTGTGGGAAGCTCCTGAGCGCAGCATACATCACCAGCCACTTAAAGACGCATGGGCAGAGCCAAAGTATCAACTGTAATACATGTAAACAAGGCATCACTAAAAGTAAGTGATGCTTCAAATTGTAGTTTTTTTAGATTGATGAAATCTAGATGTTGTTATAATATATCGAAGGTATTTTTGCTGTACTCTCAAGACTGTATTATTTTTTTTTCAACACTGTATTACTGTTCACCTTACATGTTTCCTGTTATTAATAAAGTGTGCAAACATGCAATAATAAAGCGTGTATGTTAGTATTGGAAATATTCATCATATGCATGTGTACGAGCAGCACTGATTTTTCTTTCAATCCTGTGTTTATCTAATAACACCTATGTTAGAATAGCATAATTTCCCTCAGCTATTTTTCAATGTGTCCCTTCTTCTTTGGTGTTTGAATAAAAAGCTCTAGTATATTAAAATTGTGACAGCAAAAGCCACACTAGGAAGTTGTGTCATATTGAGACAATTTTAATTGTTTTTATTTACTGTTAGGAAGATTCTCAAGCATCAGTGGCTCCTAACTCCTGATTGTATTAATAACATGTCCTTAGTAACCTTAAAGATGAAAACAGTGTTAATTAGTTTGCTTTTCAAACCCAAATCCGTAGAGAAATGGGATAGCAAATCCATTTTAAGGTTTTAGTGTTTGCTTACCTTAAATTCAGAGTTGAAGATAGAATATTCCAGAGACTTGTGGATAAAATTCAATATTTTCTTTTATCCAGGCTTTTTCTTTAAAATCTTCTGAACTATCAGAAAAAAAGTATTTGCCTAATTCTATTCTGCTATATATTCTACTACTTTATGTATTCTGTTATATATGTACTCTATGCAGCAGAAAACATCAAATTCTAGGTGGACAGAAGGGAATAGGAAAGAACACTTAATGTGTTTTATTCTCATCCATTTTTGCTTCTTTGTAAGTACACTTGGTTATTTGTAAGTACTTGTAAGTATCTAGCATGTCATTCTCTGTTAACTTTTATAAAAATGTACTTTAAGTGTACATCGTTGTGATCAAGTAACCAAGTATTTTAGGTATTTTGATGAGCATTAATTAGTCCATGATAAGATTACCCAGGTTCCATTCTAAAACTTGCTTTTTAATATAGCAAAACATTTTTTTCTCTTTTATATTGGTTTTCTCTAGCTCTCCAGTGTTTTTATTCATTATCTATTTTGACCAAGATAGTTATAAGCAGCAAAAAGGGTGCACTATAGTAAGAACTAACAAGTTAAATGACAAACATCATAGAGGCATAAAGAGTCAAAGTATATCTAAGTTTTAGATTTTGAAAAAATAGCCACACTTTTTCGAGGTAAATGGGGTGTTTCTGGTTTGTCTTTGGAGTAGCGTGTATGAATGAAGAGAGCAGCAACCAGAAGCAGCAGCAGCAGCAGCAGCAGCAACAGCAGCAGCATGTGACAAGCTGGCCAGGGAAACAGGTAGAGACACTGAGACTGTGGGAAGAAGCTGTCAAAGCAAGAAAGAAAGGTAAGAAAGATGAGGCGTCTAGTGCTCAAAGTATGGCTAGAGGAGTGTTTTCATTCAGTATGCCAAGTGATCAAAATAAAGAAGTCATAGCTGAGAGAGTCCAGCTTTATGGAAATATTAGATGCTGGGAAGTGTAAGTTATTGGCAACAAAGCTTTCAAGCTTTCAGATAAGTTTTTTACTAGGAAATTAAATTTTCCACTATTTCTTAAGTTCTTTCTTTTTGTTTACTTTTTGTTACAAATTAGAATCAAATTTGGTCCTTGGCTGTGTATGCTCAAAGTCTATTTTAAAAATAAATTTTTTATTGATTTCAAAGAGGGAGAGAGATAGAAACATCAGTGGTGAAAGAGAATCATTGATTGGCTACCTCCTGCATGTCCCCTACTGGGGGATTGAGCCTTCATGTGCCCTGACTGGGAATTGAACCAAGATCTTCTGGTTCATAGGTTCAACCACTGAGCCACACTGGCTGGTTCATTTTTATGTCAACCTCCATGCATTAGGGAGCTCCCTTTTTTTTTCTAAAATATCCCCACTTACAGAGGTAGATGAAATATCCTTATGTGTATATAAATTTATTTTCTTATAGCAATGCTATTTTCTGCTGGTTAGTGTTCTTTCTATATTGTTTTATTATATGTTTCAGACTCTAAATGCTGATGTCTTTTCTCTTGGTCTCACCCTTAGCGTCATTCAGTCTGTTGGGGCTGGCATTGGCTTAACATGTATGTACTTCAGTTGTTAGAGACATTGCTGTAATTGAGAATGGTCTGCTTTTCTCTTAGATATCTCTAAGAATCCTTTGAAATATCCATTGTTAACACAGCTTTTTAACGTCCCAGTTGTAGGTTTGACTTCTGGACTATTGCGCAGCCATTTCAAGTAAATCATTTTGTCAGCGTACCATCAGCCACAGGACAGATTCCTAAATTCCCACCCTTCCCATGTCTTACCGTTTTATTTTAAATTCATGAGGAATCCTCTGCATGTGGGCTCCTCTGTAATTCCTTTGCTGTGTAGTTTCTTCCATCCTTTGCTTTCATGTGGTGTGGCTGTTCCCTTCCTCAGATCCCCTCTAAACACTCTGTACTTGGATAAAGATAAAAGGAATAGCATCGTTTTCATACATCTACTGGCATGGAGGAAAAGAATGCAGCAGTCCAGATAGGCTTTCCACCCTTCCTCAGGTGCTGCTTGTTCCTGTCTCCCAATTGAAGATTTGTCATGACTTTGATAAAATGTTTTGTGGTGGGAGTTTGGGGGGAGAAGGGACAGAAAAATGTATATGTGTGAATATGCTATGATAATAGCATAGTAGGTTGAGAGCATATTATGAAGACTGTTTTACTTAGAGAAGGGTGAAAGTGTTTTAAGTCATAGAAAAGGACACTATTAGGTAAAAAGAAAACATGGGGAGGAGGTGGGGAGATGGCAGATGGGAGAGTAAAAACTCCTTTGGTGAAAACAGGAGAATATCCTTAGTAATGGTACCATCACCTCAAAAGTGAGTTGGTTTTCTCTTTCATTCTCTTTCTTTCTTTCTGTCCTCTTCTATTTGGTATTGTATTTCAATTTGCTTGCACAATAAGACTCAATTGTTTAGCTCATCTTCTGACCTCCATGAAACAGAATGTGATTGTATTCCCATTTGTATCATGAATCTCTTTGGAAATGACCACCAATGTTAGATACTGCTATATTCATGTTAGTATAAGTCATATTTTGGGGGAGAGACTCCTGACCTGAAAACTTAAACTTGAGTCAGCATATCCTTTTTCAATATTGGGTTTAAATAATGTTCCCAAACTTGGAAGACAGGTCATCATCTTTGTGGATTTCTCAGGTTCCATCTAAATCTCACTATTAGGTTTCCTGGGAAATAATTTTTTATAAAGCTCCATAAATGACTGTGATCATGGCTCAGACTTAGGAATTCCTGATACGGTGTACAGAAGTATGCCAGAGCTACATCATCCTGATCAAGGAAGGGCTGCTCATTGACTCAAGGGTCTGCCTGAGGTTATTTGACCCACTTGAGAAATGTGTGCAGACCTCCATCTTTAGTCTTGTATACATTTTTTCCCCCCTTTTCATTTTGACAGCCAAATCACAGCCAGTCCACTGCTCTGTCTTCTTACTCTTTTGTGGCACACCAGCAGGTGGTGCTGAATTTTGTTGAGGGGTGGGGCTGTCATCTTTGAAGGAAATTTTCTTTAAGCTTTTGCTGGATAACAAGGACCAGGTCCCCCTAACTCACTGCAGGGTCTTCTTGCCTGGTGAAGTCCTCCCTAGTATGGTTGGTGGTGTGTATAATATGTATAGCTAAATGACTTAGCATAAAGTAGGTGATTATATCATTTAAATAAAGTGATTTTTCTAAGACTGTTTATCAATCTCTGCCTCTGGATTTTTAAAACCTTAACAGAATGTGGTTTCACCTCTGAGAAGGCTTAAGAGTAAATATAGCATTGAGGACACACACTTCCCTCTGCTAGGTACAATGTGCCTTATGAGAAGATTTTTCTGATTAACAGTTATTGTGTAACCACTGGCCCAGCGCTGTATAAACAGCTCTTGTTGCCTGGCCTGCTGGTGGTTGGCTCTTCCCAAGAAAGTCTTTAGAACTCAGAGGAAGGGCATGAAGTGATAATGAGAATACTTTAGCCATCCTTGATCTCTCTGCACCACCTCCCCCCAGTGCCTTACAGAAATTAACTCGCCTTCCCAGTATCACTGTGAGGTAGGTAATTAATCTAAACTTGAAATCACAACTGCCACCGTTAAACAAGTGGCCTAAGTCAGATCCTGAGGGAGGTATAGCATCAGAAAAGAGATTTGCACACGCTGGGATTCCTGGTCCCCTGTCTGGTGCTCAGAAGGATCCTTCCTTCCTGTTGACTACTTGATAGAAATATAATTCAATTTATTAAATATTTGTTCTTTTTAATTAAAAGAAGTTGATTCAAACGCTGTTAGTGTATTTTGTTCACTGTTTTGAGAATCTAAAGGCCCTTCCTTTTGTCTTCTTATTTTAGAAGCCGCTAACCTGTGCCAAACCTCCACGGCTGCTACGACACCTGTGACTCTCACTACTCCATTCAATATAACGTCCTCTGTGTCTTCTGGGACTATGTCAAACCCAGTCACAGTGGCAGCTGCAATGAGCATGAGAAGTCCAGTAAATGTTTCAAGTGCAGTTAACATAACCAGCCCCATGAACATAGGGCACCCTGTAACCATAACCAGTCCATTATCCATGACCTCTCCTTTAACACTCACTACCCCGGTCAACCTCCCCACTCCTGTCACTGCTCCAGTGAACATAGCACACCCTGTCACCATCACCTCTCCCATGAATCTGCCCACGCCCATGACGCTAGCAGCCCCTCTCAATATAGCCATGAGGCCCGTAGAGAGTATGCCTTTTTTACCCCAAGCTTTGCCTACGTCACCACCTTGGTAAACAGTATTATAAAATCAGAATATGGTTTAAAGTAAATATTTACCAGCAACTTTTAGTAAAGTAAAAAGTAAACCATGAAATTGGGAGATTTTATTACATTAGTAATAGTGTAGTGGCATTTTTCTCCAATTTGGCTGGGATTGTTCAAAGTAGGGTATATGTATAACTTATCACTGGACCACTTTAGTTTAATAAAAAATTCCTTTTAGCTGACAGCATTGCTTAAACAGGATAGTGGTTGATAAAGATGAAATGCCAGAATTAAAACCAATCATAAGAAAGCAAAACTCATTTCAAAATTTAAAAACAGCATTAGTTTCTAATCCCAATAAATCATTTTATTCTAAACACTAGGAGAATTCTTCTCTGACTATCACGTGGATGGCTTATTTTAACCTGAAGTTCTAAATCCACGGATTGAGAGCTAGTGTAGAATTGTTTGTGTTTATTGTTTTTATGAGTAAAACATGCATTGTCATAATAAAATGCATTTCAGAGAATATGCATTTTACCTTTGGGAATATGTTAATTTCAGGCAGCATTCCCTATGGGAAAGGTGATACCAGCTCTGATATGCAAAGCATATGATAATTTATCATTCTAACTTCAACATATAATAGGGATTGTGACCTGATATTTGGAGATGTAAATATTGCTAAGCATATTAATCCTGATGGAATATAGCACTGTAGTTGACTTTTTTAAAAAATTAAAAAACAAAAAACAAACAAAAAAAAAATACAACCAAAATATACAAATTGTGTTTTGGTAAGAAAAGGCCGCAATGGACAGAGGAGAAGTCAAGCGTGCGGACAGGCAGACTCCTAACACATGGAGGCCAATGGGACTCCTATTCAGGAGCCAAGGAATACTTTGGGACATTTAAAATTATTGCTTTAAATTGGAAGACGCTGGAGGCACTGGGATGTGATATGCCCCTCTCTCCCAATCAGAGCCTGTTGATGTTACAACAGGGAAAGATATGTTAGTTGCTCACTAGAGTTTATGTCTTATATTAAATTGTATACAGTTTTTATTCTAACCACTAACTAGGTAGTATGCCCCTTCAGAACAAGCAGTGTGTATTTTTTTTTTCATTTCTCCTTTCATTTCTTAATCAAGTTATTGTGCAGATTTATTCAACTTTGTAAATATTGTCATCACTTTTTTTTTTTCTTTGCGAAAACACTTGTAACAGCTTTGTGGTGTTTTCAGGGAGACAGCTAGCTGTCTGCATTCCCTGTAGAAACCAGCAATGATTGTGCACATTAAGACATGTGCTTTTTATTAGCAGGATATTTTATCTCTGTACATAAAGTAGAAACCAAAAGCAAGGGAAACAGATACACCATCATGCCACACGTTAATGTTAAAGCATTGTATTTTAAAAAGAGTTATTAAAACCAAGATGCTGTGATTTTTATTTTAAGTTGCAATATGTTTGGGATTTTTTTTTTTTTTTCCTTAATCTTGCAGTTAAGAGAAATGGAAATTAGTGTGGTAATCTTGCAGAATGTTTTTAGGACTATCAAACTGGATGACTTCCGTTTATACCCCGCTGTGTCAGTTCAAGCATCAAAATAACTTGTATCTAAGGCTGACTTCCTACATCAGGGATAGGTATCTGTGTGTCATTCATTATACAAACAGTTCGAGGGGGTTGAACTACATAGTAAAAAGTAAAATAAATAGTACTTAGTGTAAAATAATTTTATAAATGATCTTTTGTACTTTAGGACATTAAATTGTACAACTTTTGTATATATAAAAGCTTAGGAACTTTCTGTTTAGCAGGAAGGCAACACATTCCTACACTTTTAATGTATATGTTTGTTATAATGTCCATGTAAACATGCCCTATGTTTGTGCCTTTTAATTAGTTTGTCTCAATAAACAAAACGTAGAGAAAATATGTAGCTATGACTTTGTTATAACTGTTCCTATCCACAGTACAAAAATGGTTTGTTTTTAATATGTAGAGCATTATGTGTGGACTACTGGAAGGACTCATAGGGAAAGTCCAGGCGTGGCCCTACTGAGGCTTGGACTGGGCAGGCGGTGGCCACATCTGGAGGAAGCCCACATTTCCTGGCATGCAGGACCAGGACCAGGTTCTGGGTCTGCCTGCTGGGACCTGTCCTCTTTGACGAGGCTGGTAATCATGATCCTCCATGACTCGAACAGCCCAGGCTTCCTCCACAGTGGCCCGAGGAGCAGTACTCGGTGGGGGCAGGTGTGGACCCTACCCCAGGCTAGAGTGTGGTTGTCAGAACCCTGAAAATATTAGTTCTTTTTAAAAAATTAAAAAAAAGATATATACTAGAAATTATTGTTTTATCAATTCATTGTATAATAAACAGGAATGAGACTTCATTGTATGACTTCAGTTAAAATGCTATTTTGTATGCATTCTTTATTCACTTAAGAAGCTTGTTCGCAATAATAAAACCACGTTGTGTCTTCTTTTGGGAGGGAGAGAGATGGCAGGATGGTGTTGGCGTGGGCCACTGAGAGGAGGATCTAGTAGGTGGTATGGTGAAATTCTCCTATGTCTTGGAACTGGAATTGAGTTTTGATGATGATGAACTGATTTAACCAAGTGTTGAAGGCACAACGGCCACCGCTCTACGAAAAAGCAGAGATTTTGTTTTTTTCCTTCTGGTTGTAACCTGGTTGAGAGCTTCCCCTTTATCAGATTAGCAGCTAAACAGTTGTATTAGATAATCCTCAAATCTGACAGCCTGTTATGCTCTAGGGCTCGCTGCTTGGCCTGCATTTGCCTTTTATTGTGTATTCATTTCCCTCCTAAGGTGTGCTCCTAAATGAAGGTTTCTTTGTAAGCAGATGATGGTTTTTCCTGTCAATACCAGCACTGTATTACTATCATGCAAAGTACTGCAGATTTATTTTGACAAATTAAAGTTAACCAGTCACAAATGTTATGATGGATTGCTTAATACCTCAGAAGCTTCACCAATTCACTACGATGACAGAGAAAATTTTCAAGCACCGCTTCTCCAGGTACACACGTGATGGAGTTGGTCTAGAGAGAGAGGAAGGTACTGCCAGGTTGGTTGGTATTGGATACCATGGGAGGGTGGAAATGCACCAGGCTGACTGCAGAAGTACCCGTGCCAATCAGCTCGAGTAAAATCCCAGGAAGCCGGGCCTTGAGGCATCCATCCCCTGTCCTACCCAAAAGAGAAGATGGGCTTAAAACGTTTATCAGGCTCCAGAACCCAGTTTCTTAAAGGGGCTTTAGGCTGGGTCCTTAATCCATTTGTGTTTACTAGATCCATAATTTTCTACTGAGTACCAATAATGTGTCAGGAACTATTAAGTACTGAAGGGCATGTAAAAGTGATGAAGACAGGGAGGCTGTTGGGAGAGATGACAAGTACCCAAGTGAGAGGATCACCAGATAGCAAATCGAGTTGGGTTGATCTGACACGTCATTTAGTGAAAAAGTTTTGGATACCTACATCTGTTTTATACAGAATTGAAGCTTCCCAAACTTCCTCTGATAATTGCTTTCGTCTCTCTATTGAGTTAGTGAAAACAGCTGGAGGAAAAGTGTTCCTGGTGTGGCTTTTGTCTGGGAACTGAGTATTTCACTGAGTTCCCAGTCCTGGCTGTCCAGGTGTCCCTGCTCAAGGGGCCCTGTAGTTTGGTCTTCTCTGTAGACCTGGGTTTGGGAAATAGATGGGATAGTGGAAGATTTTTCTGTAGTATCCTCAAGGTTTGCTGGACTAGAAGGCAGCCCAGTTTGTTCATGGGATGGTAATCACTTTCTCCTCCCTGCCCTAATAAATCTCGCCTTCAGTCTTACACTCTTTCCATCCTTCTTGAAGGCTGTTGTAGCCTGAAAGAATAGCATTTGACCCCATTTGGGCCTATAAATCTCCCCCCACAGCTGGTCTGACCCTGGCAGATTAGTGGCTAATCTCCCCCTGTCCTATAAAAGTAGCAGGCAGGCAGGTTCAGCTGAGCACTCACTAAGGTCTGGACTCCCGTTTCTCTTGACTGCCCACTTTTTGGCAATCTAAGGCCCATTTAAGTTTCTAAGAAAGGAATGGAGGGAGGGTCAAGGGCTTTGCTTTGGACTGTATAATCTAGCCCTCTCCTTGGATCAACCCTCCAGGGGTGGGCTAGTTAGTTTTCCTCTTCCTGAGACAGGCACTTGACCCAGATCTTGGCCCTGGACCATGAGGGTCAAGTATACTTCACATTACAAAAACTGCCCCTATCAGGGTTAGGGGACAGATTTTCACTTCAGATTCTGTACCAAATAATTTCAGAAATTTCTTCATCCCTGATTATCTTGACATCTCACTTCCAACACCTCAATATCTCTTTGAAGAGTGCATAAAATAAGAACTTAAAATCTCTATCCTTGTAGAAGTAAATTCTTCCAACTATGCAGGAAGAAAACTCTGGGGTATTTAGGTAAATTCACATTGTTTATGGGGTTTTCTCAAAGTGAAGTCACCTACATTTGGCTGCCTCCGCTGTTACCTGAATGCCACTTTTCCCTAAAGACACCCATAAAGAGCCCGGAACAAGAACTACTAGGCTAAAGACGGGCATTTGAGGACTGTATTCTATTCTGCAGGTGAGCTATTCCTTTTGTCGTGGCAGCTGAAAAGGGTGAGGAGACCGAGGGAGGTGGTCCAGCAGCTCCGTCTGCCACTGAGTGCTCAGGTCCACTGCTGGGAGCAGATGTGTCCGTTCAAGAGGCTGCTCACCAGAGGGGGGAGGCAGCCTTGGAGACTGGGATGGGAAGCTAGGTCGTTTGTCAGTCTCAGGGGGACTAGGAACCACCAAAGCTACAAACTACTGTTGTCAGCCTAAATCCACTCAGAGATCTGGCTTGAAGAAGTTCCTAGCTTTGTAAATGGTGAGTAAAGAGCCAGAGAGGAATCGCCTTTGTTTACGGGGGGCAGGGGAAGCAGGGAAAGAGGGAAGTTGGGAAGAGACTCAGGAAAGGAAGAGATTTTGGAGAAAATATCCTTGTGTTTCCTGTGATGTAACCCCCATGCTGACGCCCTTCCCTCCTCTCCACGCATCCGCCCTGGGCTGGACATGAGTACGAAGAGGACTGTAGGTTGCTAGTACAGGCCAGCGGTAGTCATTTCAGCTTCAGTCAATGGGCAGGAGAAAAGATGTGTTCTTCTCAGCCAGCAGAAGGACAGTGTCAGTAGCTGAAGAAACCGGTAAGATTCCTGTGATTAGTAGGGATTGCCCCTTTGGTGGGGACCCATGAACTAGTTTCTAAGTTCAACTCTACGAGTTCCAAATGTGTAGCCACATCCCATAAATCTCTGGTTCCAAATGAGTGGGGACATAGCAGCCTGTGGTTTTTACTGCCTTTCCTTCAGGAAGCCTGAAACACAACCAGGATCCAAGCACCAAGGCCGGATGTAGCAGCAGCAGGTCAGGGAGGCCCCCAGAGAACCGAGGGTGGGACCGGGCAGAAGGGCCAGCCAACTGGGAGGTGCTGTGTGATTCATGGTTGGAATCAGACAGGCCTGGGGTGTGAATCCAGGCTGTGTCCCTTGGAGCTGTGTGACTTGGCAAGCTACATAACCTCTCTGGGCTCGTTTCCTTGGCTATAAAATAAGAATGACTGGTTCCAACCTAGTGAGGTTTTTGAGAATCTAAGTTCTATGAAGTGCTTAGCTCAGAGCCTAGTGTGGAGAAAGGAGCTGCAGATTCAGTATACCCTACCTCCATCTGGTTCTCCTATTTCCTGTCTCAGTAAGAGCAACCATTGGCTCAGAGGAACCGAATGCCTTCCTGCATGCTTCACCACCACACACTGAGATTTTGAGGATGGGTGTCCAACATGGGTACCAGATCCTCATCTCAGGAATGAGAAAGTTAGATGGAAGATACATCTCAGCCCTGGCTGGTGTGGCTCAGTTGGTAGGAGTGTCCTCCCTCCCCTACACCAAAAGGTTTGATTCCAGGGCACACACCTAGGTTGATCCCTGGCGCGTTGCCTGGTCCAGGCACGTGTGGGAGGCAACCAAGATTCCCCTTCTCTCCCCTCTCTTCCCCTTCTCTCCCCCCCCCCCCCCCATTTTCTCCTCTGAAAAACAACGAAAATGTCCTTGGGTGAGGATTTAAAAACAAACAAAACAAAACAAAACAAAAAACCAATGCATATCTCAAAAACAGCTGGCCAGAGATGTGGCAGCAAGCGTTCAGATTAGAGGCAGGGAAGAATCGCCAAGCTGGGAGACCTGGACAAGGCGCCTATCTGGGGATGGTGCATCCTGCTTCAGACAAGTTGTTCCTTCCAGTCTCGTTCCCCCACATGCGCTGTATCTAGAGAAGGCACCTGTCCACTTCCCTCTGCAGACCTCACCCTCCTTTCAGAAAGTTAGTTCTTAGGGCTTGCTGTCAGCCTGGCACAGGCTTGACCTCCTGCCTTGCCCAGAGGACAGGGAGCGCCACCACCTCCCTAGGTGGGATGGGAAGCTCCAACCTTTATCCTAATCTACTGGTGCCGGCTCCGCTCTCCGCTTTCCCCCAGGGCAGGCTGGAGTTAGAGCTGCACGGGGAGGGAGCCTAAGCAAACGGAAAAGTCCGGGCGTGATGGCCCCACCCCCACTAGAGCATTGCCGAGCTGTGATTGGTCGATACCTCCTGTGTTCTAATTGGTCGGGGGAGCATCGCTATGCCCCTGCCTTAGTTTCCATCTCTAATGCGGCTTTCCTTTCTAAACTTTGCACAATATTTTTACATATTCTATGTAAACAGATAAAATTCAGTCCTATGGCATTCACAGATGACGTGCCTCCGAGTACAGTGTTGGTTCTCCGAAGTACAGACCAATCTATCAGTTTACTGTTATCCTATATCAAAATCACGTAGGTATGGGTGAATGGGGAGATGTTTGTGGGGGGCTGCGTTTTACATCTCTGGGAGAGGCCACAGTTGCCTTTCAGAATACCCACTTCCCCACCCTCCCGGCCCCAAAGGGAGCAGGCAGGCCCTACAGGCTCAAGTGTGAGACCTGGGGCTGAAGGTCTGGACGTGGAGGACCCGGTCCTGTCATAGCCTCAGGGTCCTCTTGCCCCACCAGGCACAGCCCTCCTCAGGGAGAGGTTTCTGTGTTCTCTGTTAGAGACACATCCAGTATGGGAAAGTTCCCTCAGAGACCTCCAGGTCCTCTAACTACTCCCTCACCTGGAGCTGGCTGTGATGCAGTCCCAGGATGCTCTTCTGCCAAAGAGTAAGCTATTTGGCCATTTCCAGTAGTGTCCTGAGCCTCACTCAGGGGCCAGTCTGATGAGGTCATTCTAGCTGCCCCTCCTTCCTTCCCTTGTCATTCACTGACCTGCAAAGGCTCCTCCCTCTAAGCAGGAAGGAGCCCTCCTGGTACACCCGAGCCTGGAGGCTTCTCCCCCTGTGGCCTTGCTCCCCAAGTGCCCCTCAGGAATATTCATCCTGTCCCACCCCCAACCTCCTCCACCGATCTTCATTCCTGAAAAGAACCAGATCTGAACATCTGGGCCAAATTAATTCTGGACAGTCCTCCCTGGAATGATACAAATGACAGTAAGTGAAACAGGCATCCTTCATTAGGTGTGTTAGAGTGAGGAGGAGCAGACACTGCAGCCAAACCGCCCAAATTCCTATCCTGGCTCTTCGGAGAAACTTGGGCCTCAGTTTCCTAATCCGTAGACAAGGCCTCTTGGTAATCCCGACCACGGGGCCAGTGAGGAATGCATGAGTTAACAATGTGAATACTAACTAGCATACTGTGAGCATTGCGTGTTGGAATCATGGGTTGTATGTTTTTTGTTTTTTTTTTAAACATATTTCTATTGATTTCAGAGAGGGAGAGAGAGATAGAAACATCAATGAGGAGAGAGAATCATTGATTAGCTGCCTCTTGCACACCCACATTGGGGATGGAGCCTGAAACCTGGCATGTGCCTTTGACCAGAATCAAAACCAGGACCCTTCAGTCCGCAGGCTGACACTCTATCCACTGAGCCAAACTGGCTAGGGATATCATTTTCTATTACTATTTTTTATCTAGTGAGGAGAAAGATAATGTTCTTATCATTTTAGAGAGGAGGAGACAGAAACTCGGGTTCAGCTTGTAAGCGAGTGCAGCAGAGGTGTAGTTGCCCCCTGGCCTGACTGGCATTTAGCCACTCCACTATACTTACTGGGCGGGGGGTTTAGGAGGAGCTAAACTCTGCTGCTCCAAGCTGCATGCCTGGTTTATTTGGCCCGTTTCAGCCTTTGAGTTTGACATGCTTGATTTAAAGAAATGTATGCCTAATGGAGGAAATTTGGGGGGGGGGGGAATCTGGAAAAATACTAATAACAAAATAAAAGAAGTTATCTATAAAACCCCTCATCTAACAATTGTTAACATGTTGGCATATTTCCTTCTATGTTTATAACTAAATAAAAATAAATTGGCTCCTGTTGCCTGTGTGCTGGCTTGTGGCCTCCCTTCCTCATAACATCGTAACGTTTTTATAGGCATTAAATATACTTGAAAAGCAAGTTTAATGGTTACATGGAATTCCACGTATCTGTGCCTGCTCTCCACCTCACCGCCTTGTTCAGGAACTGCGGGCAGCCTCTGTACAGAGGGCGGGACCCCTGGAGCCTCACAGAGGATCACCAGGGCCAGGAAGACATGCGGTGTCTGAGGACAAGCCAGGCACTTCTCGCCCACCTGTTGAAGCCAGCCCTTTCGCAAATATTGATGCACTCGTGGGCCTGCCAGCCTGTGGGCTGGGAGGCTCAGGTGCTGAGGCAGACGACAGCTCCTGCCTCCTGGAACACACAGGGACTAGACCACGTGCTGTACAGACAGGCTGGCAGGATGGACAGAGGGACTGCGAGAAGGCAGTTTGCTATGCAAGAGCAGAAAGGCCCATGGAAAATGCCCCAGGCGTGACATTGGCGCTGGCGCTCTGGGAAAGGGTGAGGGTTCCAGAGAGCCTTCTCTCACATGGGGTTGAGATTGGCAATCCTACTGGCATCCATCTAGTTATGTCCCCAAAGGGGGTCATTTACTCAGTTTTTGGGGGGGTGGGGGTGAGAAGTCACTGCTTCCACCTTCACCCATGTTTTCTTTCAAAACTCACAAGTAATAGCACCAATGTTTTCCAAAGTTTCCTCTGAGTTTCTCGGTCATTTTGGTGAGATTAGAGAAAGGAATGGGGTCACCCTAACTGTCTGGACGTTCACATCACTTGCTTTTCCACCTGGGGCCTCATTAAACTGCCTTTTGTGCTGGGAGGAGGGGAGGAGGTCACCTGGGGGCTGGGACCATGTGGTTGGTTCTTAAGCTTCAGGCACAGGCTCTTGTGCACCATCTGTTAACAGTTGTTCGATGGGGGAAGGAGGAACACATAGAACTGGTAACCAATAGGATTAAGGGAAAGGGACCTGAGGACTAAGACTCCCAGGGCTGTGAGTTGGAGTTCCCCTTGAGTCTCCTGGCAGTGAGGGGTCTGAGGCCTGCAGGCGGAGAGCCTCTGCAGGCAGCTGTGCGTGAGGGGCTGGCACGCAGGAGGGAGGCGGGCCTGGGACCCTGGAGAACTTTCAGCTCCGAGGCCGGGGTGGGAGTTAGGGAGGTTACCCAGGGGTCTGAAAAGCAGGAAAAGGGTCTGAAGAAAGCTTCTAGGAAGATAGCTCTGAAAGGAAGAGGTTTTTAATATATATATATATATATATATATATATATATATATATATATATAATTATTGATTTTCTACAGAGAGGAAGGGAGAGAGTTAGAAACATCGATGAGAGAGAAACATCGATCAGCTGCCTCCTGCATAACCCCGACTGGGGACGTGCCCACAACCAACGTACATGCCCTTGACAGGAATCAAACCTGGGACCCTTCGGTCCGCAGGCTGACACTCTATCCACCGAGCCAAACCGGTTTCAGCTGAAAGGAAGAGTTCTTCAGGGAGGAGCGTCCATTGCAGTGACTGGCTGCATTTGGTAACTGTATTAATAACATACTAACTGCTTTTATGAGCACTCAGCGTGGAGCACAGACAGGGACATACATCTCCATGTGTGCAGATGCCTTTTCCTGGCCCCAGAAATGCCAGGGTGACCGGGAAGATCACGCACGTAAGCGGAAAAGTGGCAGATGAACTGCTCTGTGGACAAGTGTAAGGTAACACACGTAATCTAGACGGCCAGCAGGCAGGACAGACCCTGGGCTCTCAGTCACAACCTCAGGACAGCAGTCAGGAGTCAGCATGGAAGCCTGGGCCTGTTCCTCCGGATTAAACATCTTTAACCTGGGGTTGACGGGACCGCCTCCTGGGTTTTGAGTGAAGGAGCCTGGGGAGAAGGGATAAGGAGGTTATGGTTCTGAGGTCCCCCCCCCCCATCCCCCTATTTCAGGTTCCCAATTTGCTTAAGAAAGTTTCCCTTGACATGCAAATGATGGAAACACATGGGTGTCTGGGCACTTTGGTTTGTGGTTTTTACCATCAGATGTCTCTGATTTCTCTCAGCTCGGCGGAGCTCGGAGCTCAGGGACTGTAAGGCCTGAGGTGGCGCGGACAGGGGGTCCTCCTTGGGGCCTGGGCCACACTGGTAAGTGGGTCTCTAAGCCGGGCTTGTCAGGGAAGGCACAGACCGCTTGCAAATGGTCGGAGGGCAGAGCCAGAACTGCATTCTGGCCTTTGCCCTCCTCAGATCCCCTAGCTCCCTTCCCACCAGGTGCTTGGTGACCACCCCCTACTGCACCCTATACCCCCCCACCCCCAGTGGAGTTTGCAACCAAACCACGTGGGAAAACACTAGCCAAAGCTGATTTCCCACGTATGGAACAAGTTCAGTGGAACATCTATGCAGGTCTGAGAAACCCCTGAAACGGCCGGGGGTGATGAGGAGGAGATGGGGAGATGGCAGGTGGTAGCTGATGGTGTGAGTGGGTAATAACTGAATTCTTACCTCCTTCCACCATGTCCTCTGACCTTGACATTTTATGTTGTTTGCTTTTCTGAACCCTAACTCCCAGGGGGCTGCCCGGGCCCCCACACCTCAGCTGCCCCAGGCCCCAGACGTGGGTCCACATCCCGAACCTTCTAGGGGGAGCAACCCTGCTCTTCGGTTCCCCTCGGAGTTGAGGTCTCGGGTCTCCCCGCCCCATCCTCTCCCGGATGCACCTTCCGGGCGCCTCTCCCCGGGCCTGGCGGGGAGGCGGGACACCCCGCACCAGCTTCGCCCGGGATCCCGAGGCTCCTTGCTCCTGCCACCCTGCCCGACAGACAGACAGCCCGGGAGGCGCCGCGGCTGGGGCGAGGGCAGAGGGCACAGCGAGGATTTCCTGATCTGCACCCCCGCTGCACCCCCATTCCTGCGGGCCTAGAGCAAAGGGACAGGGCGTCGGCGAGGGTCTGGGGGCTCCGCCGCCGCCCCCCCGCCCGCCCGCCCGCGGCCCGCTCCTCCCCGCGCGGACAGCTGCACTTCCCGCCGCCGCCGCTGGGAAGCCGGCCTCGCCCGTCTCCCCGCCTCCCGCCCAGCCGCGCCGGGCCCGCCGCCGCCGCCGCCGCGGGATCGCCGCCCCTCCCCCAGGCCGGCCCCACGGCCCGCGGGGCGCGGACGCGCGTGGCGGCTGCTCGGTAAGACCTCCCTCCCGCCCCGGGCGCGGCCCTCCCGGCCTCGGCCCCGGCCTCGGCCCGGCGGCCCCACCTTCTCGGGCAGCGATCGCGATCGCGACCGCCGAGGCACCGCCGGGAGGGCCGGGCCGGCGCGAGTTTGATTCCCCGGAGCCTCGCCGCTCCGCCGCGTGCGTGCGGCGGGTCTCGGCCTCGCTGCCCTCCCCGGTCCCCGCCGCGGCCGCGGGCGCGCGGGGCGCGCGGGCATCGGGGACCCGGAGCGGAGCGCGCGGGGCAGGGGTGGGCGCGGGGCAGGGTGGGCGCGGGGCGGGCAGCGAGGCCTCCCCCGCAGGCGCCGCCGGAGCCCCGCACACGGCCGCTCCCCCTTTTGTGTGCGCGCCCCTCCCCGCGGGGCCCGGGGCGGGGGGCGCGGGCAGGTTGGGGGCGGCCGGCGCGGGCGCCCGCGGGGGGCAGAGCTCCTGGGAGGAGGCGGGGAGGGTCACTTCCTGCCCCCGCCGGTGTCACAGGTCTGGTCCCACCCGGTCCCCGGGGAGCCGCATCTCCCGGCGGCGTCCGGGCAGGCGAAGTTCGGGAAGCTCTGTCCCCGCCCCGCTCCCCGCCCCCGGGCTCCGGGTCCCGGGCCCGAGCTTTGGGGGGTGGTGTCTGCCTCAATTCATTCTTTCCTCTCCCTGTGCTCCTGGCATGGTTGCCTTACACCTAGGAATGGCTCGCCCATTTCTTTTCCCCTTAAAAGAAGTTTTAGCTCCAAGAAATGGATGCTGACATGAAATGCCAGGAGCGGAGTTTGTTTCAGAGGTAGAGAGGTTTTAGATTTTTCTTTCCTCCTCCTCCTCCTCCTCCTCCTCCTCCTCCTCCTCCTCCTCCTCCTCCTCCTTCTTCTTCTTCTTCTTCTTCTTCTTCTTCTCTCTCTCTCTCTCTCTCTCTCTCTCTCTCTCTCTCTCTTTTAATTTTTATTTATTATTATTTTTTTTAGGGGGCGGGTGAGAGTGGAGTGTGAGGGGAATGACGGGGCGTTTAGAAATAAGGTGTAGTAGAGGGGATACAGGACACAGGAAGGCCATCCGTCGCATCCCCCACCTGACCCCAGGCGGGAACATCACCGAAGACGCTGGGTGATGGGGTGCAGGGGACAAGCCTTCCTGTTGGTTATCCTGCGGGTCCCTGGACCACCTGGCCCGAGAGGAAGGGCTCAGGAAGATTCTCTGGTCATTCGTTTCTTTTCTTTGCCAAGCAGGCTGGTCTTTATAGGCTGGGCAGAGTTAGCTAGGTGTGTGGAAAGAAGAGGAGGGGCCCCAGGCACTTTCTCTTGGAGGAAGTCACCCCGGGAGGTTTGGCTCCTGTGGGATTGAACTGGGCTCTCTGTGCTGGTGGACCTCAGTTTGAACGGAGAGTGGCATCTCTGGGATGGAGAGAGAAACCTGGTTCAGGTCTCCAGGAAGCTGAAGCCTGTGCGCAGGAGGGTTGTGTTTGAGCCCCCCTGTCTACTTTTTGCAGCTGGAAGGAGCAGGAGTTAAGAGACCAGGAGTGGTAATGCCACAGGCCTGGCACCTCCTTGACGAGGAGAGAGACTAGGAGAGAGGCCTCGGGATGATGGATAGGGAGGAACTTGGGATCATGGGCCCCCTTTGAGAATCAGATAAAACTTCCAACTCCTTCCCACCCTTCCACCCACAACCGTGGTTGGCAAACCGAGGCTCTCACATGCAGCTCTCTGGCCCCTTGAGTGTGGCTCTTCCACAAAATACCACAGCCTGAGCGAGTCTATTTTGAAGAAGTGGCGATGGAAGAAGTTTAAGTTTAAAAAATTTGACTCTCAAAAGAAATGTCAATCGATGTACTGTTGATGTTGACTAATGAGTTTGCCGACCACTGACCCACAACAACATGCATATGTGCAGGGACACATCCTCTGTGCAGTATCAGAGGGCTGCTATGCCCGTTAGAACTGGGACCCTATGAAGATGCCTGATCTAGAGTCTGTGGTCTAGCCTAGGCCAGCAGAACAGCCAGTGAATAATCCCGGGGTGGTGAAGAGTAGACCTGGCAGGTGCTCTTTCCTCATGACCTTATGGTGCCATGGAAACCTGTAAACTCTGGGCCAGATTCTAGCTCCCTCACAGCTAGCCAGAGGATGGGACAGATGGGTGGCCCTTCTCCAGGGGCTGGTTTTGCTGTCTGTGTGGTGGGAAGGCTCCGGGGATGGGGACAGGACCACAGGGCTTTTAGATTAGAGGCGAATACGGGAGGTTAAGGGTTGGGGATGCTGGTGTTTCACTGTGTCTAGGCGCCATGTGCTCGAGGAGCCCCAGCTCATTCTCAGGAAAGCGGGGTTGAGGTGGGAGAAGGTGCTTCGGTGGGAAGTTTCGATGTGAAAGATGCTGCTCCTCTTGAAGAGGCCGGGTAGAGTTGTCCAGGACCAGGGCCTGCATGTGGCAGGTTCTGAGATCCCTCCGGACTGTCAGCACAAGGTGGGAGTCGGAGAAGATGGCTGTCCCCATTCCCCGTGCATCCCCGAGGAGGCCTGGCCTGCCTGGTTTCTCAGCCGAAGCTCACGGTGGGTGCCCTGGTGCTGCCCAGGCGTCAGTGGCTTCTCCACTTGCTGGGGATCTGGAAGGGCCTTGGGGAGAGTCTGTCCTCTACAACGTCTTGGCCTTGGCATTGAGAAGCCCTTCTTCGGCTCCAGCGTCCCCAGGCCTTGGTAGCTCATGGGGACTTTTCTTTGTTGAAACAGCGAGCACCTGTGATCGGCATAGCAGCCCTCACACTTGTTTCTTCCTTCGGAGCTCCCTGCATTTACTCTCCCCGGTGGAGTGTTCCCACCCTGGCGATAAGCAGCGCAGGCAGGAGTATTCTAGAGCATCGGAGGCCGGAAGCTGACACTCAGACAGATCCCCTCTGACCTGGAGGAGGCGCTGCCTGCTTCGTTGGTTCTTACACTGAGGGGGAGGAAGAGCCATGGAAGGCCTTGCAGATGCTGTGACCCAGCAGTCCCTGCCTTGAGATTTGGAAGTTGTCTTGGTGGGAGGGAAGGGTCCTGTGGCAGTGACTAAAGGTTCGCATGCCTCAGTGGTCAGGACTTTTCTGTCTGCTGCTGCCCCTGCTGCCACAGGTTGGTGCATTTGTGTTGGCTGACTCAGCGCTTCCCTGGATCCCCTCTGCTTCCAGCCTCCCAGTAAGTTCCTCTGATGTATACGGACTCCTCACAAGGCAGCCATCGCTGTTATCTTTAAAACAGGGCGTAATCCCAAATATGATAACAATGCCTGTAAACATACCGTATTTGGTATAATCCCAAATTCGATAACAATGCCTGTAAACCATTTCACCTTCGTTATGGTGGCACCACGTGTCACTTACGATGGGATCCAAAGGTCCAGCTCCATGGGTCTAACCTCCACCCCCAGGAGGCCATCCGGCCACTCTGTGCCCATTTCCACGTAGCTTCGTGGCTTAGCGTATAGGGTCTGAAGTGACACATCCCCAGTCAGAAGCCCAGCTCGCCATCGTCTCTATGACTCTGTAAGTGCCTCAGTTTCTCAGCTCTAAAAAGAGTTAAAGGAGATCTCACATGTATACAGATAAAGAGTAAGCATTCTTTTAAAAAAATCTGTATCTATTTTTCAATTACTGTTGAGATACAATATTATATTAATTTTAGGTACAACATAGTGATTAGACATCTGTATAACTTATAAAGTGATCCCCCCAATAAGTCTTGCACCCACCTGACACCATATATATTGTAGTTCTCAAAAGTAATATTGACTCTATTTCCTATGCTGTCCTAGTTTATAACTGCCAATCTGTACTCCTTAATCCTTTCACCTTTTCCACCCAGACCCTCAAATCCCTCCCACCTGGCGACCAAGAGTAAACATTTTTAGAGTAGACACTATTATTATTATTATTATTTCTGCACATGGTGCTAATGTTTTGATTTTTTAAATTTTTATTGTTAAGGCAAATCTTCGGTACAAACTATAGAGGCAGAGGCTGGCTTTTAGAGGGGTGGGATGGATGGGATGAGGCCCTTAAATTATGAGCAGAAGGGACCGGACCGCACAGTAGGGAGCTGGGGAGCCTGAAATGTCAGGGGTGAGGGATAGAGAAGCGTAGTTGGGGACAGAAGCGCATTTGTACCCCTGCTGTGGAACCAACTTTTCTCCCTTTTCTTTGGAGAATTTGCCTTATAAGCTGGTAGAGGTGGGGCGGGGGAGGATGATAATCAAGGAGGAAGGGTGAATGACTTTTTATGTTGATGCTAACCTTTGTCCTGGAGGAGAGAGTCTAGTGTGTGTGTGTGTGTGTGTGTGTGTGTGTGTGTGTGAGTGTGTGTGTGAGTGTGTGTGTGAGAGTGTGTGTGTGAGTTGTGTGAGAGTGTGTGTGTGAGTGTGTGTGTGAGTGTGTGTGTGTGAATAAATAGAGAAGAGTGGATGCTGTAGGGTTAGGGGATTCTGTGAAGTAAGAAGCTTGGAAAATGACCATTCCAACACTCACTGGGCACTTGCTGTGGGTCAGACCCTGTTCCAGATGCTTCTCAGGGATCAGCTTATTTAGTCCTTACATGATCCTATGAGATATTCTCTCTCTCTCTCTTTTTTTTTTTTTAACTGATTTTAGAGAGGAAGGGAGAGGGAGATACATCAATGAAAGAGTATCATTAATCGGCTGCCTCCTGCCCCCCCTTCCTCCCCCCCCCCCCCCCACTGGGGACCAAGCCTGCAACCCAGGCAGGTGCCCTGGTGGGGAATCGAATCATGACCTCCTGGTTTATAAATCGATGCTCGACCACTGAGCCTCTCCAGCTGGGCTATCTCTGTTCTTCAGCGAAGACATGGAGACATAAAGAGGTTAAATAACTTGCCCAAGATCACATGGTTAGAAAGTAGCAGAGCCAGGATTTGAACCTAAGAGGCCCATGCTATAGAGTTTAGATCCTTAGAGAAATTCTTAGAGAGACCCTCTACTGACCTGGGGGGTGAAGGGTTAGGGGGAAATTGGAG